CCTCACTGTTCAAAGGCACAACACAGTGGAAAACTTTAAGTTATTAGGGTTAACTTTTATCTAGAACAGATACTGTGCATGATTAAATGATGTTTGTGACTGTTGTGTGCAAAATAACAATCTTACCTCATGACTCCAGGTTTGTATTTACTAAACCGCTCCTCTACTTCATCAGCATGGTATCGCTGGTTACTCTGCATGCCCTGGTTGTTGCTCTGATTAAACTCCTTTCTTCTCTCATTAATTGCAGCCATGTCTTTAGGCTAGGGAGGTAAACACGTATGAATTAAGTTCTGACTGATGTTTAACTTGGGCTCATACCATATTAACGTTTGCTCTCACCTTGGGACAGTCTCTCAGCTGATGACTACTCAAGCCACAGTTGAAACACATGGATTTGGGTCTGCAGTGAACACAACAGTGATGGGCTCATTATGCAGTTATATTCCACACAGCAAAGAACCACCACAAGTCAATATAAAAAATAAAGCTTCATTAATAACCCAACATGCCTTTTGTCCTTCATTTCTATCTCCTGCCCATCTGTGCCGAGGACTTGGTTGAACACCTGGTGATAGCTTTGCAACAATTCAGGAAATGTTATCATGTTTGTGCAAAACAAAGGGACAAATTCTTTATCTTATCAACTTCAAAACCTTTATAAAAGTTTTACTTATATGCTGGATATTTTACAATAAACTGCACATTTCAAATCCAGACATCCTTACTTGAAAGAAAACAAAATAGCCCATGATAAAAAAGTTCTCAAATGTGCAACACATGCTAAAAACAGATGACCTGACAGACTAGACAGTTGATTTTTGATGACGTATCAATTTATCCATTTTAAAGATACGTTGGCACATCCCATCCATCTGTCAGCTGGGGGTTTTCATTCACCAGAGGCTGTCCAAGTTTATCAACACTGAATGTAGTGAAATATAAGACACTTCCAACCACCTACGAGACAGGAAAATGAGAACAGTTTATTATGGGTTAACATAGTATGTAGACGTCTAATTTTCTTTTCCATGCAGCAAGAAACTGTGCGATATGTTAACCACTGAAAATAACAATAAGAACTCACTTTAAATGCTTCTGTTGTTGTTTTTACGCTACAGGAAGAGGACTTCTGCGGATCTTCCTCCAAAGCAAAGGCTGCATTCTTCATAGAGGATAAAACATGTTTGTTTTCAGCAAAGTAATAACAGTATCAATATAAACCACAGTAAAATACATTCTGTGTAAATACCTGAGGTTTCATTTGATAGATGGAGTTTTTCTTTTCATTGTTCGGTTTCTGGTGCTTCAAAATCACACTGCAAATGCAATCTTCAATCTCTTGACGACACTGCCTAAAGGGGAGACATTTTTTGTTTTTAGTTAAGCATCATTATTTATAACATGCTGTTATAGAAACTCACGATTCGGTGCGTACACAGCAAGGTAATTAATATGCTGTTATTTCATCTTGATAGCAATAATGTAAAAATTAACACAAGTGTTGCAAAATGTTGTACTTCTAAAATTAGCATGGTTAAAAATGTTGTTTAGGGACTGTTAATTATTTATGAGAGGGGAGAGGGTGGTGTAAAATGGGGAAGGCACTTCAAATATTTTAAAGCACTGGGGAGGGAGTTATGTTTTTTGATTTGGCTTCTGGTCTTTGCACACTAAATCCATTTGTTCATCCCAAATTGTTGCCCTGTCATTCATTGTTGCTGGAAAAAAAATACAATCTCATGTTGAGTCAATCATGTTTGCAAACGGAGTCCAAAACTTTGGTCCCTCATTAAACTTTTGAGAACAGGTTCAATTTTCTACATTTTTCATATCCATCAGAAGCCTTTAGAGACATTTGATCAGAAATCAGTGAAGAAAATGTGCCGGCGAGTTTGAAGTGGGTTTGAAAAGCATTCATTCATTTTCTGTAACCGCTTATCCTGTTGAGGGTCGCAGAGGGGCTGGAGCCTATCCCAGCTGACATTGGGTGAGAGGCAGGGTACACCCTGGACAGGTCGCCAGACTATTGCAAGGCTAACACATAGAGACAGACAACCATTCACGCTCACATTCACACCTATGGGCAATTTAGAGTCACCAATTAACCTGCATGTCTTTGGACTGTGGGAAGAAGCTGGAGAAAACCCACACTGACACAGGAGAGAACATGCAAGCTCCAGCTAGGAGGGCTCCCCCACTCTTGCTGTGAGGCGACAGCGCTAACCACTACACCACCAAGCTTCTTTATAAATCTCCAAAATCACCCCATTTATCACAGCCACAAACTGTGAAATATGGTTATTTCTGATAGAGAGAGGGTCATGCAATTCCTCCCAGTCACTCAGGGATGCTTAAGAAAAAATGTCTGCAACTCCAGGGAGGGTTGTGATGTAAAACAAAACCAAAGTCAAACCCCAGCTACCCCTCTACTCTGATAAATAAAACACAATCCCCTATAACAACAAACTTAACTTGACATTTAAAAGAGACAGATGTGACAAAACTGCCGATGTGAATCACAAGTGAGCAAAACCCATTTGACTACTTACTTTGAAATGACGTTGTTTGTGTAAAGGATCTGAAGAGCTGGTCCGTCGATGTTGACATCTTCAACTGTGATGCCGCTATGAAGTCAGAGGACAATGTAAGATGGTTAGCAGGGTGTCTACAGGTATCAGACAGTTACATTTAATGCTTTTTAAGACCAGCTCAAGACACCTTTTAACCAAATATAGGACAGATTTTTTGACAAATCATGTACTTATTTAAGCATCACAGCAAAGCATTTTAAGTAGAATATATGTGGTCTAGTGCAAATGTTAAGTGTTAAGTAGGACTATGGTTATTAGAGTCAATCTACATTTTGCCAAAAGGTAAGTGTAGGTATGAAGTAAAGTGACAATATTATAGTTTTTAAAGATATTTAACATTAGAAATGTGGACTTTTACAAAGAAGGGCTTCACTCATTTTCACAAAAAGAAATTACAATGGATACATGAAATTAAACAAGATGTTTGTAGTAGTCAAATGTAAGACTATTTAATGCCTTTTAAGTCCTTATTGTTGTAACATTGGATTTAAGACATTTTGAGGCGTTATATTTAAGGACCTGTGAACACCCTGGTTAGCGGGTGATCAGTTTCGTTTCATTTGTTGTGCGCATTAACTAGTGTCAGCTAACAGTTACCTTGGTCGTGTCAGGATGTTCAGCTTTCTTCTTAACCCTTTATGTAACTTGCGAGTTAAGGAAACAGACAGAGAGCCTACAACACATCAATCAGCAGACATTTACAGTTGGTAACTTTTCTGTTATTTGGTTACGGTGCTAGCAGCCGTTAGCCGTTGCTACATCCACAGTGCTAGCACCCAGTGAGACACAAGGATATTCTCCTCCGTGAGCCGCTGGATGTAGTCATCACACTCCTCCAGTCTGCTCCGCAGCTGGCTCGCTTCGTCCTGCTCCTCTTCATCATCTGTGAAGCGGATATGCGCCGGGATCGGCGGTGCGGAGTCCTCGAGCTGCTCAAAGAGCTCACTGTCACCGAAGTCTACTTCAGCCATTTTTACCCAGCTCTGTGGTTCAGGACCGGGGGTCAGAGGTCAAAGCGACTGTTCTTTGTATTCATTGGTCCTCCGCCTGTCACGTGGTAGGTGATGACAGGGAGAAGAAAGGTTCTTAGCCCTCAACGCGTATTACAGGCTACATACAGCTACAGGACTTTTTAAAGGGATAGTTCAGACTTTTTTGAAGTGGGGTTGTATTAGGTACTTATCCATAGCAAGTGTATTAAAACAAAAAGTGATAGTGCCTTTGAAGTAGTGGCTCCAACACTATGGAACTCTCTTCCTTTAGGTTTACAATCTGCAGTCACCTTAGAAAGTTTAAAAAACACAAACAAAGACCTATCTTTTCAAAATGGCCTTCGTCCCACCCTAAACTGTCCGGTGCATGTTCTCTGTTATGTTACTTTCTGGGGCCTCAGCGGCCTGTATTTGCTCTATGATTTACTTTCTATTTATTGCTTTGTTTTTGTTCGATTGCCTTTGTTTTTATTGATTGCATGTTTAATTGTTTGATTGCTTGATTGTATTTCGTGCAGCACTTTTGAGAATTTTATTTCTGTTAAAGGTGCTATATCAAATAAATCTTATATTATTATTATTATTATTACCTACAGTAAATGTCTGTCAGCATGCCCCCAGACTGGAGAGAGGGCCTTCAGCTAAGGGAAAGCTTTCGATTTTTACTGGTCCATCTATGTCCCAACCCTCACCTATAGCCATGAGCTCTGGGTAGTGACTGTAAGAATGAGATCATGGATTCATGTGACCAAATTGAGTTTCCTCAGAAGGGGTGGTTGGGCTCAGCCTTAGAGTTAGGGTAAAGAACTCAGACATGCGGGGGGAGCTCAGAGTAGAGCCGCTGCTCCTTGGTGTTGAAAAAGGTCAGTTGAGGTGGTTTGGGCATCTGATCAGGATGCCTCCAGGGCACCTCCCGTTAGATGTGGGCACGTCCCACTAGTAGGAGGACCCAGGGCAGATGGGGTCCCTCAAGAGGAGCTGGAAAGCTTTGCTGGTGAGATGGACGTCTGGGGCGACCAATATATGATTAAAGTAGCCCTCAAGATTGAATGAATAAATGAAGGAAAAAAATATTTGTTCACTCCTGATTTGATCATATGATTTAAAACCATGCAGTCATTTTTTTCGGCCCAGGACACATGTGACTACCTCTGCTTTCCAAAATAGGAAAACAAGGTCTTAACAGTAGATAAAAGTACAAGTAGATACAAAATACATGCGGAAATATGACTGATAGATTATATTCACAGGAAGTAATGGATAAGGTGTGGATAAGGGGCCCATTTTCTAAAATGTTGTCCCCCTGCCTGTAATTTTGTAGGCTGCACACTAAAAAGGTCTTTTGGTCTGCAAGACAACGTTGAGGGCTTAAAAGCGCAAATGACAATGTTTCTGTTCCGTTGAGTCTGTCCGGTTTGCTGCAGCGTCTCTACTTTCGCTTACTGTATTTTAGTAAAACATTTCGTCTTTCTACGGGACAAGATAAAATTGTGACTAAGTTAAAAGCTTCATTTGCTCACAGCAATGTCAAGTTGCTCAACTATCCACCTAACTTTACCGCAGTGGGATGGAGGCTCGCGGAAGATTCGCTTCATCCACTTAGTGAATGTGACATCCTTCAGGCTGACAGAGAGCCCCAACAAGGTGAGTGTTATCTGCCACTGCAGGCTCAAACATGGATTCTGCATTTGTTTCAATGAAAATAGTGGATTTGTGTTTGTAATCATATTTCCCATAACCCCTGAAAGCAGCTAGAGGGTGCTGTATCCATAGATATAAATCAACACCATCTTCGTTTACATCTATCATCTTTGTATCTGTTTCAGAGTCCAGGGACCCCTCTCTTTTTAGGAGCTGATCTCTTCTCCAACACTGACATCCGCACAGAGAACCATCCCAGGCACCACGCCAAGTTTGCCAAGAAGGGATTTGCAACAAAAATACATTTTTCTTCAGGTAAAATACAACAAAAAAATAGCACTATAAAGAAAGACCTGCCTTGCACCAATGCACACACATCCACTAACAATGTTTTCCTCCTGTTGCAGCGTTCAGGTTCCATGGGCTGAAGGTACCTACTGCAAATAACAGCCTCTGGTTCTACAGCATCCAGGGACTGTTTCGTGTTGCCTTTGAGATGTACAGTAAGCAAGAGCAACTTGCTGTGCTGGAGAACTTCCAGGTGCAGCACAGTTAATAATATGTCTTTATATGTTACACTTACAGGCCACTTTATTAGGTACACCTTGTTTGTAGTAGGTTGGACCCCTTTTGCCCTCAGAGCTGCCTTAATTCTTTGTGGATTCAACAAGGTGCTGGAAACATTCCTCAGAGATTTTGGTCCATATTGACATGATAGCATCACACAGTTGATGCAGATTTGTGGGCTGCACATCTCCTGTTCCACCACATCCCAAATTCACTCCATTGGATTGAGATCTGGTGACTGTGGAGGCCATTGGAGTACAGAGAACTCATTGTCATGTTCAAGAAACCAGTTTGAGATGATTTGAGCTTTGTGACATGGTGCGTTATCCTGCTGGAAGTAGCCATCAGAAGATGGGTACACTGTGGTCATAAAGGGATGGACACGGTCAGCAACAATACTCAGGTAGGCTGTGGTGTTTAAACCATGCTCAGTTGGTACTAAGGGGCCCAAAGTGTGCCAAGAAAATATCCCCCACACCATTACACCACCACCAGCAGCCTGAACCGTTGATACAAGGCAGGATGGATCCATGCTTTCATGTTGTTTACACCAAATTCTGACCCTACCATCTGAATGTGGCAGCAGAAATCCAGACTCATCAGACCAGGCAACGTTTTTCCAATCTTCTATTGTTCAGTTTTGGTGAGCCTATGTGAATTGTAGCCTCAGTTTCCTGTTGTTAGCTGACAGCAGTGGCACCTGGTGTGGTCTTCTGCTGCTGTAGCCCATCTGCTTCAAGGTTCTATGTGTTGTTGGTTCAGAGATGGTCTTCTGCATACCTTGTTTGTAACGAGTTGTTATATGAGTTACTCTGACCTGACCATTTCCACTCAGAGAGCTGCTGGTCACTGGATATTTTCTCTTTTTGGGACCACCCTCTGTAAACCCTAGAGATGGTTGTGTGTGAAAATCCCAGTAGATCCGCAGTTTCTGAAATACTCAGACCAGCCCGTCTGGCCCCAACAACCATGCCACATTCAAAGTCACAAAAATCACCTTTCTTCCCCATTCTGATGCTCAGTTTGAACTTCAGTAGGTCGTCTTCACCATGTGCTGCCACATAATTGGCTGATATTAACGAGCATTTGAACAGGTGTACCTAATAAAATGGCTGGTGAATGTATATTGCCTAGATTTTTAAACACCCCAATATGTCTTTTGATATATTACTGTCTTTTTCCTTTGTAGGATGTTTGGAAATCGCAGATAAATGACAGTCCTTTGAAAATGAGTTACAGCCTCAGTGTGCAGCTGGACTTTCCCCTCTCCAGCAGCCTGCATGATACAGGATCAAGGAATGTAATGTCACAACCTCAGCACTGCCAGGTTGACAGGGAATCGGCGGCTGTGTGTGGCAGTGACACAGATGATACATCAGCAGATCATGATTACTGTTCTTTTCCCAAGCAGAGCGTGCAGACTTCAAGCCAGCCGCTTGTATCCACAGTGAGACAGAAGTTGCACAGCTTGGATGACAAACTCTCCTCTTGGATTCAAAGCGACACAGAACAGCTGGAGACTATCTTGCTGCTTGTGGAGTGCGTCGATAGGTACATAAATGGGAATCTAGAAGAAAAGGATGTGACAGAAACTGTGTTAGCCCTACTGAAGGCCAAAGACTGGGACTGTGTGTATTCAAGTTCCCTGCTCTGTGGAATAGGATGTTGGCTGGGCCAACAGTTTCACGCAGCCAACAGCAGCATCAGTCAGAAAGTGGAGGGCTTTAAAGTTCAGCATATTGAACGAATCAGTGACTTGCCACCTGCTGAGGAACTAGCCACAGAGCTATTCCCAGAGGCCATGCAAGCACTGCTGCTTCATTGGATGGGCCTGAGTGAGGAATCAACTGTGGAGAAGAGACACAGCGAGTATCCAATCCTGCTCCTCATCCTTGAGTTCGCCAACCATAACCTCATCACTGGTGTGGCTCATGTGCTGTACTCCAGTCTGATATGTAAATAGGAGTGGGTTTCCATTTAGGTATTTACACACAGATCTGCAATTCACCTAAACAATATATGTGAAGTTGTCCTTCCTTGCTTTGGACAGTCTTTTGCCGCACATACTACTTCTATCAGGTTGGGCAACAACTAAGGCTGGGTGAAATTTTAATGTTGTGCAACCTCCAGTGGAATCATACTGCTACATTATTTTTTCATGTTAATGTTTCACAATATTGATTCCAAACAGATTGTGTTTGACAAAACAGGTGATTGCAAGTTCTTCTTCTGATGTAATCTGAAGTGTAATTTCCACTTTAGTGTGTAGACGCTAGTGGCATCCAGCAGTGAGGTTGCAGAACAACATAGTTGTGAATATTATGTACCATTTTTGCCAATAGATGCCCCTAAACCCTACACACTGGACCTTTAATACACTACTGTTTGGCCAGCTTTCAATCTCAGGCTAAGAATGTGAATTGAGCTGCTGAGTTTGCCTTGATATACTCCAAAAAATGCCACAGATGAGTATTATACTTACAGTGGCATGAAAAAAGTTTGCGCATTAGTCAAAATTCTGTTGACTGTACAGTATATAGCTAAGCAAGTAAAAGATGACCTGATTTCCAAAAGGCATGACGTTAAAGATGACACATTTCTTCAGTATGTTAAGTTAGATTTCCTTTTTTATTTCAATCTTTTACAGTTTCAAAGTAACAAGAAAGTAAAATGGCCTGAAGCAAAAGTTTGGTCACTACTAAGTAGCGCCCCCTTTGGCAAGTATCACAGTTTCTAAACACTTTTTGTATCCAGCTAAGAATCTTTCAGTTCTTGTTTGGAAGGTTTTCACCTTGGGCTGTCTTGCATGCACTGCTCTTTTGAGGTCTATCCAAAGATTGTGTCATACATGTCAAAAACTTCAGCTTGTGCCTCTTGAGGTTGTCCATTGTGAATTTTGAGGTGTGCTTGGTATCCTTGTCCTGTTGTAGGAACCATCCTCTCTTCATCCTCAGCTTTTTTACAGATGGTGCGATGTTTGCTTCCAGAATTTGCTGGAATTAAACTGAATCCATTTTTCTCTCAACTTTCCCTCAAATTTCATGGTGAGGACACAGGAAAATTTTTCCTTCTGATGACTCTCCCATGAAGGTCATATTTGTGCAGGTATCACTGCACAGTAGAACAGTGCACCACCACTCCAGAGTCTGGTAAATCTTCCTGCAGGTCTTTCGCGGTCAAACAAGGGTTCTGAAGTGCCTTTGTAACAATCCTACAAGCAGACCTAAACTTCACAGTTCCTGTTATTTGTCACCTCTTAATGACATTACAAACTGAGGAGACAGCTTCCTGAAAACACCTTGCTGTCTTTTTATACCTGTCGCCTTTCTGGGCATCAGTTTTAGTTTTCAGAGTGCTGGGTAGCTGTTTAGAGGAGCCCATGGCTGCTGATTGACGGGACAAGGTTTTAGGAGGCAGAGTAATTATAAAGCTTTGAAATTTGCATCCCTAGCCTTTCCTAACGACGACTATCAACAAGTCAGAGCCCTAACATGCTAATTAAGGTCTGAGACCCTGGTAAAAGTTGTCTGAAAGCTCAAATGTCTATGGTGCTCCTTTCCCTAATTCACTCTAAAATTGTACAAAACAAAAATAATACATTTATTTTGCTGAAAATGTTGAGAAAGCAAGTTTTATCTTGAACCGTGTACCTTTTGGAGATCAGTTCATCTTTGACTTAACTATTCACAGTATAAGAAATTTTGACCATGGGTGCCCAAACTTTTGCATGTCACTGTAGCATATTTGGTACTATTGTGGCAGGATTTGGCATTATAACCAACTTATTTATTTTGCAGGTTTTGTTTTGGTTTATAGTCCCAAAATGTATGGAGAAATGAAAAAAATGGGATTAACATAGCTTTTTTTTCCTGAGGGAGCCCCAAAACCACACCTTATGTTGTGTTCTCCCTGACCTCTAAAACCAAAGATGCACCCTTGGATCCAATGCACACTTCAGAGAACGTGACACCAGGTTAATTCTGTATGATTTAGCTGTTGATATTTTGCTATATAAATTGATTTGGGCAAATATTATTTTGATTTTAAAGTTTTATAATTAACGCCCAGCTCTGACAACGTTAAATTGAATGGAACCATAGTGTAAGAACCCACACGTTTAAGTAAAGAGGTGATGTATGAAAACCTTATTCAACACAAAACTAATTTATTTCAAGAACATTTGAACTATGTGATTTCTCCTGTCAAGCACATCTTTATCCATGGTAATCCTGAAGACAATATGTATTACAACCCACTGTTTGTTTTCCCAGTCAGGAGAAATTACTCTGTGGGGATCAGATAATGCTACATTGACTTCAGATGCCTTTTCACTAAATGGATGTAAACAGTGTTCACTTGAACCACATTATATTCAGTTTATGTTCAAACAATCACATATTAATATATATTTGAGTTAAAAAAAGAAAGCTACCACATTATTCAAACAAATATCTAATTTTAACCAGTATCAACCAGTCAAACTGATGCATCCTTTTGCAAAGATTACAGTACAGATTAATCAACACTGAGGCAAACTCAGCATCTGGCTATTTACATCATAATGTTCAAATACGTGAGATGTTTGTCTATAAATAAGTTACAGAGTCAGAGCAACATCCATGCAAGCTTGAGGGCTAGCGATGAATCGGTGGTCCTATATGATCAGATGAGTGGCAAAGATGGCCAACGCATGGCACTAGATGGAATCCATTCCACGGGAGAATGAAGAGGTGAAGCCGAGGCCCATTCCCCTCTGGGTGTGTGTCTGAGAGCGAGCCATCTCATACTGAACGTCAAGGTTCCTAAACATTTCCTCCTGCTTTTGAAGAGTCTTCAAGCCTTCATCGTTAAGTGGTTTGGCAGCTTCGGCTTCATCCTCTCCCTGTGAAGACACCAAATTCAGTTAAACTCCGGGAAGTTAAAGGTTAGAAAACTTTAAGTACTGGACTGAAGATTTAACTGCAGTATCAAGTACCCATTGGTTAAGTAAAATGACAGTTATACTTACTTTAATACCCATTAGTTTGCGGAATTTAACATTTTGGTTCTTGTTTCCAAAGTTAAGCTTCTCCCACAACTCAGCTGTCTGGGACTTGTCCTTAAGAACAGGAACGATAAACATTATGTAAATGTTAAATATGGAAATATTTTACATGAAAATATCCTTTCGTAGTGTTCACATTTATAAGCGCAAAGCTTTAAGCTCATATTGAGGCAGAAAACACTTGCGGATAAATAAGAAATAACAGCAAAATCCATTCTCACCCCCTCCTTCTTCCCCTGCCATAGCATTTTCCTCTTCTTCTCCTGCTCTGCAAACTTCATCGGATTTACAGCGGATGGATTATAGTAGCTGGGCACAGCGATACCAGTCTCTGCCAGTGTTTTTGCTTGAAGGGCTGCCATCTGAGCTGCCATGGCTATCTGAGGCGTGACCTGGGTCCCAGAGGCCAGGAGGGCAGCCACATTGAGCGCAGGGTTTGAGGTGGCAGCTGCAGCTGCAGCGGCTACTGCTGCGATAGGAGCGGCAACTGGAAACAAAATACACAGATGGGCAGTAAGTGAGTGAATCTTTACTCAAATGATCAAGGTTTTTAAAACTTGGCACAATAACTGCTTCTCACCTGCAGCTATCTCCTGCTGTTGCTGCTGCTGTTTATCCAACATTTCCTTCTCCTTCTGTTCCTGCAGTTTCTTGGCTCTCTCCAGCCTGGAGAAAACAAGAGAAAAGATCACATTGCTCATTTGTTTTGCAATCCTGTTGTGCTCACTGCTGTGTACTTTAAAGTGATCATATGACCTGTAATCAAAAGTGTTGGAGACATCAGCCAGAGTTTTCATGTGTATTTTTGAGCCCTTATTTAACAGGGGACAGTAGATATTTGAAAGGAAATGAAGAGACAGGAGGGGTTAACGTGCAACACAGGTCCCCGGCCAGACTATAAATGTGGACGATGTTACGTGTCAGTGTCTTAGATAGCTAGACCACCAGTACACCCCACCTATCACTATTTTATGTTTCGTTGTTTCCTTCCAATGTGGCCTCATGAACAATACTCTCTGGCAAGTGCAACATTGATGAGAAGTCAGATTACAGCCAAACCTAGAAGTCCAAACTTTCATCTGAATAACTTTAGTAATGAATGGTGGCTGATGCTTAAGTTGTACATTTATTTCTGATTGGTTCCATTAATACTACCTAAACTGTGCTTTGCCTGCTCACCATATCATCGTCTTAAAAAGTCAGGCATGAGCAGTGCAATAAAAGTTGACAATGACTTCAAAATATTTAAACAGAAAAGTTTTATAGGTGCTATTGCACAAATGCAATAAGCACCGCTACCATTGCTTGGATTTGGCCAAAACAGAATGCCCAACCATCTACATCGTAAATGCCCTGTGAGGTGTTGCCTTGCCTTCTGGCCAGGGCCTCTTGTGCATCCATAGCTGTGTTTCGGCCCCGGAAGGCAGGTGGATTAACAGACCTGCTTCGACTCTTTCTGCGCGCCTTCTCACTTCTTTTCTTTCGCTCCCTTTTGGAACAGAAAACAAATAAATAAAAAAATAAAAATCAATGAGCATACAGTTAATGACAAGTAGAAGAGTTCAAAAATACTTAATCCCCACAGGAAATACTGGCATTTCATTTAAGCTCACCTGCTCTTACTGCGACTTCTGCTATGATGACGGTGTTTGGTCCTTGAACCTGAGCGAGACCTAGCCTTCTTTTTCCTGTCCCGGCTGCGTGATCGGGATCGCCGTTTGTCCTTACTTTTGCTGTGATGCCGCCTGAAAACAACAAGATCCATCAACTGAACCAGAACTTTTGCAATAGAAATTATGATATATTTGTTTATTGTCCAGTTGTTAAAAAAAGTTCTTACCAAAGCATCATCAATACAGAAAGTACAACAGACTCTTCATAAATTATGACTTTCCTTCTGTGTCTTTAAACGAGGTAAAAGACCCACTGACAGTGTTTCTTTATTCAGTTTCTTGACCAGACTGACCTCTCTCGTGAGTGTGACCTGGACAAGCTCCGGCCCTTGGAGGGCCTCCTGTCTTTGCGTCTGGACCGCTCCTCTCCGTTCTCTGCTGAGAGTCTCTCATGCTCTTGCTGCTCGTCTGTTTTTCTGTGTGATTTTGATGGCTTCTCAGAGTCCCTCTTTCGTGCCTGTTTTAAGAAGAAGTTGTCTCTTTCAGGAAAATAGTGCAACAAAAAGAGTTAGTACCATGGCTTAAGGCAGAAGGTAGGTCATAAATTTTGACAAGCTGAAAAAAATTCTTGTCATTTGAAATCCACTTTCATAACATGTACAGAGTGTCATTCTGTGAACATGATTTCAAGTGTGGGCATCTCTATTATATGGACTAATGTGACCATGCCAATTCCGTCACGGACTGAAATCTTGCATGTTCAGACTGCACCATGGCCCATAAAAAAAGATAATAAAACTCTTTTCTATTTTCAATGATCTCTAAATGTGCCATTTGAGGTCAATCAACATACTAGATGAAGCTGATGTAATTGCTTGATTCTTGCCCTTTCTGGGGTCGTACCCACATGGTTGAATGCACTTACTGTACGTCACTTGAGATAAAAATGTCAGCTAAATACATGTAATGTAATGCAATGCAATAATGTAATGTAATTAAATCAAACCAGCATGTTTGGAACATCTCACTTCTTGTAATAGTGGGCATGCAAACCTTTAGATCTGATTCGCAGGGGAAAAAATTAAATGTGGTTCTTCAGTTGAGCAACAACATCAATTCAGTGTTACCAAAAGCTTTTGAACATGAACCCACTGAAAGGTGAAATTAGGGATGGGCATTCGACTTATTTATTACTTGCATCATCCAAATCATACAATGCACAATATCTAATTAACATAAAAAACACAGATTAACTTCCTAAATTAAAAACTGATGTATTTCTACAAAGTATTTTTTTGCCAGGTTTCATTTCCTATGCACCATATGTCAATTTCTCTTTATGACAGAGTCACACCATATTTATCTCATGTGATCATAGTTTGGAATAGTGCTGCATTAGTTTGATGTGACATATCACTGAAGAAGGCCGTTACTCTTTAAACAAACAAATTAGTTTTTACAGGAAAACTGCATAATTACATAGGTAATGAAAAAAACTGTTTGCATTAATGGAAAAATTAATGTGTTTAATTATGCCCATCCCTAGCTGAAAGAGATGCAAGAGTTAATTCCATTTGTTCTACCAACAGTGTGAGACAAATAGGAGTTTGAATGGCAGATAGTTACCTGTCCCAGTAGTAGGCATATTATTTTGCTATGTCAGCAGGGTCTTCTGTTCAGTCTCTTCGTGCATTAGCACGCTGAGTATGATTTATTATAGAAATGTTATCATGTGATCTACACACAGGATTTAACAAAAAAAATAAAAAAGGAAAAAAAATTGTACTCTTCACCATTTAATATGGTTACAAATAATGACAGATATCCAAGGATGAAAGCTTCCTTTGAGACATGTCAATATAGGGAGAGTAAGACAGGACCCTTCCCATGTGAGTAAGTCCATCTCCATCTATTTCTTTTGTTCTTAACTTTGATTATTGTAAAATATATAACCTAATAAATCATACTCACCTTGACCTAAAACTAACATGGAATACAACTTAAGGGCTTCAAAATCACATCATATGTGTTTCTAGTCAGAGAAATGAATGTATTATTTACCTCTTTACTCCTGCTGCGACTCCGTCTGTACTTTCTGTCACCTGGGAAAAGCAGAAGGCAGAGTGCTGACAAGTATACATTTCAAAAATACCTTGAGAAGAGTGTGTGTTTGTCCAAGTGTGCTTGGACAAACACACAGTAAAGCTACTGTGTATAATATTTTATGCAGTTAGTGGACAAGATTCTGCAGCAGTGTCTGTTGGGGCATTGACTCTTTCTATAGACACACTTCATCTGCACTTTTAAAAATAACGAGAGTGCTGACTATGCACATTTATATACCGTCACACTGTCACATGCAAAAATATAGCAGCCTCAGTCACCTCACAAATATTATTTGTGACTAATTCAGTGGACGGCTGTTTTCTTCCTAAAAATTAATCTGATACAACAATATGTGTACATACTGAGAACAAATTTTAGACCATGACCCTAATTAATGAGGCATTTTAAGCACTGTCCGGGTATTGTTACTGAATACCAACGTTTTCTGTCCCTGGAGCGTGACCTCGACCGTGAATGGTGGTGTTTGGAGTTTCTGGGAGATCTGGATGACTCCATGCTGTGTTTTTTTCTGTGATGAACTGGTGAGCTTGTTCTGGTCAAGTCGACCGAGTCATTGTCACTTCCCTGGAAGAAATGGATATGAGATGAAAACATGAGAGTAGCAAATCAGTGTGGTTCAGTACGCTCAAGAATTGATGATGTAGTTGACATTAGGACATATGTTTTAATGTCCCTGAAATAATCACTTTATGACTGTATCCTTGTATAATTTTGCTCAGTCTTCACACTACAAATGAGACACACACACTGAAAACAATGATCACAAACATGTCAAATACACATGAATTTCATAATGCCACTGCATCCTATGCTTTTACATTTGAATTCAGACATATATGAAGCACTAGTACTGAAAAAAAAGCTACGATGACTCAAAGGCATAACTGATTGATGTATTCATTTGCTTCAGTCCTACCAAATGGCTTATAGTTGCACCAAAGTCTCTTACTCATTCCAGTACACTAATAGATATGTTCTTTATCCTTTTGCACATTATTTGAGACCACAAGTCAGCAGAGTGAATTAAGGTAGAAAGGAAATTTAAATTACCACAGATGTTGTAAGGTTGGGCTGCAGTAATATGTAGCCCATCTACTTCAATCCACTGTTAAACTCTTTGTTCATGCATTCTCTTTCGCATACATGATGGGAATTTTCTTGTTGAACATTTGGCTTTTGTTATCTTATGAACAGCCTTGTTATGATGATAATGATAATATTAAGTATTTCTTTCATCCAAGAAATGCAACATAAAACAGTAAAACAAGGCAGTTAAATAAAAGGGACATTTAAAAATAGTGTAAAACAAAAAAGTAAGATGAAACCAGAGCACAAAGATGGCATCATGGTTCAATAGTGACAAATCCATACATCTTGCAATGAAAGGATTGTGATGCTAACACTTTGTTATTCACCGTGCATCCTCAGGTATACACGTGACACCCCTGACTGCATGTTCACAAATGTCCACTCAGATGGTTAAGAATAAAGTAAACAATATAAATAATTTAGTTTTAAGTTAATGAGCTGATGATTATCATTTATACAGACAAAAACAGCATCTTCAAATGTGCTATCGATATAGCTCTACCATGGTCCACTGAATGAAACCCATCTCACAGGTCATCACAATGTTAAACAGCTGCTGCTGATGTTAAGTGGGGCAGTTCTCTCGGCTAATATGAAATACGACATCTAGTGGGTTGTATTCAGTGTCGTGACATTGCTTTTTTCCACTAAAATGCTTACTCAGATTGTTACGAATAAGGCATTCAAACAAAAACAAGCCAGTTAGCCAACATGCTATCTACATTAGCTAGATCCTACAATGTTCGCCATTCATACTTAGAACACAGTAATTTTAGCGTTAGCTAGGTCGCTAAGCTAACTAACGCTAACCGCCATCTTTAAGAAAAAATATTTCAAAATAGAATCGTAATCTTACCGGTATACTAATGTTATTTATATTTCCCTCTATTTAGGCATGTGTTGATTATCGTTATGTAATTGTACTCACCGACATAATCCCGAAACACACTGTAAATGTAATACAGCTGTTTCGTTGTGTGTGCAGACGAACACGGAGAGATACTTAGCTGCTACACAGCCGTTGTTAGCTCAGCTAGCTAATTTGATCTGGGTTGCCAGGTTTTATCTCTCGCCTACATTCAGGCAAATGTAAACAGAGCGTTGAACAATAGTAAAGGAAAATACACACGGTGAAAAAATGCAAAGCAAAAGAATTAATGTTTAATTCTACATATAAACTTTTTATCAAAAGGAATATATTTATATACAACTCCTTTGTAATTACCAACTGTTTGACTGGTAACTGTAATTTAATATCACGTTTTTTCTCAGTAACTGTAACTGATTACAATTGCATCAATTTTGTTATTTAATTATGTAATTCGTTACATGTAACAACTTACTCCCAACACAGATTGTGATTTAATGATCTAATCTTAAAACCAATGCCGTATATATAGAAATGGACTACGCAAGAGACTGAAACGTAACCAACCTGGCAACGCCGCAAGACTCTCAGGATGTTCCTGCAAAACTTTGCTGTTCTCTCCCTACACTTAGCCTGTCAGGCAAGTGTGGGGACTCTCAAGCTGTGCACAACCCAAATAAGGCTCGTCAGTTAAACGGTTGTGTTTAGAATAAAGATGGATGGCATTCAAATGCAGGCTATGGTCTTTACTTCTGCCAATTCTAACGATATAGGCATGATTTATACGTAGCCTGAGATAGAGGTTGTATCTCTTAGACAAATCTCAGGGAAGAGTCACCCCATGTGTCCCACAACAACCCGCCAAATTCTGAACGCACCAGTACGACAGCTATTACTTTTGAGTTATGTTGGTTCTCTGTGTTGTCGCTGTCTGATTATTTCAGTGAAGTGGTGAGTTACCATCAACTTCGTATATATCGTAGTCAGTCTTTGCCCATATATATCAGTAGGTCATCTTGAAATTTGTCGGTTTTGTAACTCTTGGCTGAATTACTCTCTAGCATTGACGTTATCATAACACTGATGAAGATGCAACTCAATTATTAGATGAGTTAGCTAACCTGGCTAACGTCAAGGCATCGCATTTCGAGTACACGACTCATGTCAAATCATTTTAAGATCATTGGAAGCTTAACATATATTCTCTGTAACCTAACTTAGCTCCACGAAATGGCGACGTGGAGCGACGTTGAACTTCTGACCAACGAGGACACAAATACTGTCCGGTTCGGCAGTGTGTCCAGGGAGGAAAATGGCAGCGGCCTGTATCAGGTGGATACACTGGTCAAAATCTCCACCGCCAATGAGGTAATGAATGACACTTTATACAGTACTCCAGTTATTTACTATGTACTCACACTCAGCCAGGGGCGTAGCGAATAGTTCTGGGACCTCTGAAAATATAATGCCCCTGTGCTTTCTTTAAAGTCCTTCAGTCTGTCACCCTACCAGTGACAGCACTGATCAGTGATGGGATGGAAATGCTTGTTCTTGCAGGTGCAGGCAGATCCTCGTCTCTCCTCCTTCAGTGGGTCAAACTGGAGCATTGTTGTTGCTGACAAGACAGTTATCCTGTTTGACCAAAACTATCAGACCATCCTGCTGCTTCTTCACTTTGGTACGTCCCTTCTTTCATCTTTATGCTGTTTACTATCCATTAGACGTCAGTGGGTCTGCTCCATTTCAGTGTGCCGGTGCACTGCTTAACACTTAATGCAAGGGCCAGGAAATCTGTTTAAATGGAGTGTAGTCTGTCAGCCAGTGGCAACAACCACGTAACTGTGGTTGTGGACCAGATAAAATGCCTTGTGCGAGAAAGCTGCCCTTGATTGGTCAGAGTTTTAATGCCTGAAAAATCCAGGAAGTAAACAAAACATTGAAGAAGAGTACACTTGCAAGATAAATGCGACACTTTCTGATGTCACGATGGAGGGACAACTATGTAGGTTGATTTTAGCGCTGGACATCGTGGACTATATTGCTGTCATTGTTCATTTTAGTCAAACCATACAGTTTGAAAACAAGGCGCGGCTCCAACTAGAAAACAATGTTTTGATGCTTTGGATGAGCCAAATGTGCATATTAAGGCAGTACAGGAGGAGGTGCACATTAATAATCCTCCAGGACTGTAACATGCTCATGTTTAACCCAAACAATGTGTAATGAGAATGCAGCTGGTTCGGATCGAGGTCGGAACACGTTCTCACCACAAACGAACCACACCAGAGTGTGGTTGTAACCAGACCGAGACCACCTCTTCAAGAAGGTCTTGGTCTGGTTGTTTTGGTGTGCACTCAAGTGCAATTGCTGTGTTGTTCACACCTGCCCATTCATCAATTCTCTATCTTATCAGTCTTTGGTGATGTATGCACTGCTCTTGCTGCAAAAATTTAGTGGTGGTTCTGGCGGATCTACTGTGCTATGATAACTGTCAAATGGTGTGCAGACTGTCTGTTTGGTGCGCGGCAGACGTATGCTGGCATGCTAATGGTGCAGACCCAGTTTGTGTCCTCCTGAGATAGCCTGTGTGGCTGCACTCAAATCAGCGATTACAAGAATGTGTTAAGCTGCTTTCTCTCCCTGTGTAGTCCAAACAAAACCAGTTTAAAGATTCTGTAAATGTACGGTCACAGTCCAGATTTCACCTTGATTTCATCTTGATTTCATACAGCTTTCATTATGCCTTTCCTATCAGAGCAGATGGCTCTTTCACAGTAACTACTGTATGTTAATACACCAACTTTTTTTTTTCAGACACTGAGGTGGATGCCATTGACGTATGCCTGAACGGACAGTTTTTGGTGGTCTGTGAAAGAAATGGAAACCTGCATTTGATCTATGTTCCACACAAGAGAACCCTTTTCACCAGGGTATGAGTGTTGACTGATATCTGTAAGGCATACGCCTGTAAGATTACATTACATGATTGCTCTGTGGCCTTGAATTGTTATAAGTCTGATTTCACGTGAACACTTGAAGCACAACTATAGATGATCACCAGCTGTAATACTCCTGATAACTTTGTGTCTTTTTTCTTAAACTATTTTTTTAATAAGCACAATGTGTTTCACTTATATACTTAAACATGTTTCATTGTTTGGGTTTGTAGGCTTTGGTGAAGACACCATCCAGTGGAGATAAGAAAACATACCGCTATCTCATCATAGAGGAGGACAAGTCATCCTCAGGTAAAAATTCTATATGAATATGAAAAATGAAGGTGGAATTTTTAACTTGAGGTGTTAAATGCTGTGTTTTTTTTCTCTGCATCTTTTCTGAATATGTTACCAAGTTCTCCAATTTTTGTTTTTTGTTGCCAGGGATGTACCATGTGTTCCTTCTAATAAAGGATGGGTTTTTCCACATTACAAATCTTGCACTGTCAAAGATCGAGACAGGTATCAAAACATTACATGCAGCACACTTAAAGTCTTGCTGAAGACACTGTGTTGACTAAATCAAACCTTTATTTTTCTTTTTTAAAACAGCCATTGAAAAAATGGATGTGGGAGCTTTGAAAGAGGTAAGTTGAGGCAATATTTTTTCCATGCAGTATCAAACTTTTTTTTAACAGCATAACTATAATTACACTTTTCCTCAACTCAGCTCCAGTCGCTCATCAAAATAGACTTCTGCTCCACCAGTGAATACCATGACGAGGGCTGTAGCACAGCAGTGATGTTCAACCTGGGCTCTGAAATCCACTTAATGATCGGGGTCAGTGTCTGTGAGAGAAGTCTTACTAATTTATTTACCACCTGCAGTTAGATACATTGGTTATATTTAAATTAAAGCATTTTTAAAGGACAAAATAAATGAAAGAAATGAACTCTCTACAAATGGACAATGGTACCTTGCTGGTACCTGCTCAATTTATTTTACTTCCTTTTTGTACTTTGCTGTTGCTTTTATTTTCCTACACATGTAAGCAAATGAAGTATTTTTTTCAAGATAAAATTTAATCTTTACTATGACACTTAACTTAAGATTTGAGTAAACAAGACTTTTCTAGGAATGGTACTAACTCCTCAAATATAGCAGGTAGACAACATGTATTTCTTGATGTAACTTGTGACAATGTTATTATCTTCACAGGGGGATAAAGAAAATGTTTTGACTCACTGGATGATGGACCCTCATAAGTCCAAGATGTGCCTTGCTCAATATGTCAACAACAGCTTAATTCCAGGTAAGGTCTTGCTCTATGTACAGTACAGTTACACATTGTTAATGTGCGTTTTGGATGATACTGAATATTTATCATCTATATATTTAACCTTTTTGTTAGTAACAAATCAGGTCTCGACAGTAGAGGTTGCCAGGTTGAGACTGGCACCGACTTTGAGAAATTAATTTTTAATTTTAATTTAATTTCTTAATTTACTTTATTAATCCCCTGAGGGGAAATTCAATTTTTTCACTCCGTCGTCATTAACACACAGGTCCGAAATACACACACATGCACAAACAGGACCTATACATGCACAAAGTGGAGAGATGTCAGCGTGAGGGGGCTGCCCTTGGTCAGGCGCCCTGAGCAGTTGGGGGGTTCAGTGCCTTGCTCAAGGGCACCACGGCAGTGCCCAGGAGGTGAAGTGACACCTCTCCAGCCAGTCGCCAGTTCAAGTCTGGACAGCGACTTGAACAGGCGACCCTACGGTTCCCAACCCAAGTCCCTATGGACTGAGCTACTGCCACCAATTAGCACCCCAAAATAAATTAATTTTTGACATTTGCAGGGTTCCTACGCAAGTATGGAAAAGTATGGAAATAAATTTGATCAATTTCCAGGTATTAAAAGGTATGGAAAATGAAAAATAAAGTATGGAAAAATACTTATGTTACCAGACTATTACCACTGTTCTAAAATACTGTTTTCTAAAATAGAAAATTAGGTATTTCCAAAAATAATTTAATCAATCTGGATCATGTTTTATGCCGGGCCAAGCACAGTTTGTGTGAGAGCAAACGTCTCAGAAAGCATACCGCCCCTTTTACCTGATTGACAAGTGGTATGTCCAGTCCGCTGCCCCATGACCCTCCTCCAGCCCCCCAGGTATCAAGTTTCACTCCAACACTGCACCTTCGACAAGAAGGTGCAGTGTTGGAGTGAAACTTGATACTGCACTGCACCTTCG